AAAAGAGCCTCAGATTTTAAGTGGACAGTCAGATTTGGGAAGGGTCAAAACATCTTGAAGTCATTATCATGCCTTTTTACTTAGTGAACTGCAGGATTACACAGATACAATAGAGAAGAGGAGCCATGAGGACTGTTGGATTGTGCATATTAATCTGTGCCAGGTGAACAAACTAAAAGGTACTTTAAAAAAACCTGATTCTGTAGGAGTCATCCAAACACCATGAAGAACCACAGTACGATTTCATTCCTCCCCTCAACCCAACTGTCATTTGAATTAAACGCCAAAGTAAGAACAGAGACTCCTCTGAAGCACCAGCTATGCTGCACCATCTCCAGACATGAACTGTTCTTAAAACCATTAGATTAGTTTACCTTCGCAAAGTGGAAGCTCCTTATCCCAATCAACTCCATTTCCCACAACCACACATTGGGCATAAGTTGTTCCAATTAATCTGTACCTAAAGAAAGAAAAATGGTTCAAGTTTGTTACTCATGTAAGCAAAGATCTAGTTAAGCGTCCAAAAAGATGGAACGTGGTTTCTTTCTGCCAGTAGGTGGAGACAAACCATTGAAAGAGGGACACATCTAATACCATAGGACCAAGGAACACTGAGGCCAGGTCTAAACTCCTCAGCTATATTGGTATAACTATGTTGCTCGGGGTGTGAAAAATCCATATCCGAGTGACAGTTACACTGGCCTAACCCCGCCACGTAGACACCGCTTTGTCGAGAGGAGAACTCCTGCCAACATAGCTACTGAGTCTTGGAGAGATGGATTAACTATGCTGACAGGAGAGGCTCTCCCATCAGTATAGGAGCATCTTTATATACAACAGTACAGCTGTGCCGCTGTACGTGAAGACCGAGCCCTGTGTAGCTCCCAAAAGCGTTAGCAGGAGAGAGTCCTCGCTTCTGGGCTATGCTTATCAGATGTTTGGGAATACTAGTTAATCCTCGGCAAAGGGGAACAAATTACCCCTCTTCTAAATTAGAGATTTTTGCACTCCTATCTCCAGTAGGTGACAGGAGGCCCTACCACCTCTGCTACAGAACTCTTCAAATATCCAGAAAACTAGTTAATTTACAGATCACATGACCCAACCCCTACTGGATGATCTCCTGAGGCCTCTAGGGTGGGATCTTCAAAAGCACCTGAGTGAGTTAGGTGCTCATCTCCCACTGAAAGCCACCCAGCTACGGTTGTCAATCTTCCTTCAACTCCTTTGAAAAAATCGCAGGTGTCATTCTTAACAAGGCCCAGCCCGTGGCTATAGATTTATAGCACACCACTCACTTCTGTTCTTGAAGTTACTCAGGCTTTCTAGTCTCATTTTGCCAGACTTCACCAGCACTTTTACAGCAGTCTAGGTTCTGTTAATTAGTCAAAAGAAGCAACTTGCCACTCACCCTTCATTACAGGAGAAGTTTGCTGTTGCACCAAACCGGAGATCCGTGAAATGAACCCTGCCATTTTCTAGTTCTAGTGGTTTACATTCCATTTCTAGAAGAGAACGAAGCTAATATTAGCGTTACCTCATATTACCTTAACGGGAGAAAGGGGATATGTTAACTTGCACCCCCTAACATAGCAAATACCATGGCAGATCAAAGCCAATGACCTTGGAGTCCAGTATCTGTCCTGTACCACAGCGGTCAGCACCAACGGCTACAAAGGAAATCTTACAACCCACATTATGGATAATTTTGTAACATGCCCAGGGGAAGTGGGGAGACGTGGAAGTGGGGTGATGCTTCCTAATCCCACACAGACAGTGGTTGCCTTATATCCTGAATCAAGAGAATTAAGTTCCCCTTGCAGATTTAGTATAAGTGCAAATATTCCTTTTGTACATGTTAAGGCCCAGATCCTGAAAACTCATATACATAAAAATATTCGTGTGGGTAGATCCATTGACCGCAACTGGCAG